AATTTTTAAGAAGGCAAACCAGATTCGACAAGGTTTGGTACTAATAATGGGAGACTTCAATTGTGTGGCGGACCCATTGAAAGATAGGAAAAGTCAAAAAGCCAACAAAAATAAAAATAAGAATAAACTGCAAAATCTATTCAATAAATATAATCTAAGAGACATGTGGAGAACATTCCATCCCACGGAACTGGACTACACATGTTATTCGAAAACATATAACTCATATTCGAGAATAGACTACTTGGTGGGAGATGTAGCTATGCTCTATATTATCAAAAAAACGAGATACAGGATATAACGTGGTCGGATCACAGCCCCATCATATTAGAATATAAAGATAGCTTTGACAAATTCCGTAAGGAATGGCGGATGAAAGATTTCCTACTATATAAGAATAGCAACCTGAAAGAATTAGAGAAGATAACAAAATGCTTCTTTGAGGAAAACAAAGATAAAGACACCACAGAGACTACAGTCTGGTGCGCATACAAATGCGTAATAAGAGGTCACTTAATCAAGCTGGCATCCGTTGTAAATAAAAAAGGATTACAACCCTTATCAAAGTTATACATTATATTAAATGAACACAAAACAAAATAACCCTGTCTATACAAGGTGCTTGTAAGATTAATGAAATAGAAATTCAGATTAATGAGCCATTAGTAGATAAAGCATCGAAACAATTCGAAACGCTCCAAGTTAAGTTGTACCTAAAAGGCAATAAACCAAAATCCATGATGACCAATAGGCTGAAGAAGGAAAGAAATAAGCGTGTAATTTATAAAATAAAAGAGAAGGACACTTATGTAATGGCTCTGGAGAAAATTGCTGCAGCATTCAAAAGATTCTACCAAGACCTATACAGCCTACCAAAAGAGACATTTGGGGATCCAAACAAGATTGAGAGATTCCTTATGGATCTGCCCATTCCAAAAATCTAACTGGACCAACTAGGGCAACTAAACCAGCCTATCACAGAGGAGGAGGTAGAAAAAGCAATCGATAAACTTAAAATAAAGACGGCTCCAGGCCCAGATGGCTTCACAAACAGATTTTAGAAATCAATGAAGAACTGTCTAAAAGGAGAACTAACCATCGTCTTCAATTATATAATGGAAAAAGGAGAGTGCCCAGAGGAGCTGCTAATGGCAAATATTGTGACTATTCCAAAAACCTGGAGCTGGTAATGAACTTTAGACCTATATCATTGATTAATACCGATATTAAACTATCTTCCATCATAACAGAAAGACTGAAGCCTGTGATACCACATATTATTGATGATGATCAAGTTGGTTTTGTCTAAGGGAGATCCCCGGTGAATAGTCTCAAAAAAATTATCAACATTGTGGAGGAAGTGGAGATCAGTGGAGCCCCTCTAATCCTGTTATCATTAGACGCAGAGAAAGCGTTCGACAGGGTTGGATGAGGCTTCATGTTCTCCGCTTGAAACCATTTTGGAATAACTGGACCAATTTTTAAAGTAATATCGGCTTTACATAGCGCTCCATCGGCTAAGGTCACAGGGTCAGGATTCACATCGCATTCCTTTAGTATAAAGAATGGAACCAGACAGGGATGTCCCCTTTCGCCTTTACTATACATAATGGTATTAGAGCCCCTCACCATCCTAATCAGACAAAACAATAAAATTAAGGGATATACATACACTACCGGACAGACCAAACTTAGTATATATGCAGATGACATCCTGCTAACACTTGAAGATCAAATTAGGTCGGTACCAGAACTACTTAAAGATATAAACAGCTGTTCTAAAATCTCTGGCTATAAGATAAATCTGGAAAAATCAACATTCATAGTGAAAAATATGAATAAAAGATTGACCAATGATCTCAAACAAAATAATGGTATAGCTGGAAATAGGGACAAGTTGAAGTACCTGGGCTTTATCATAACCCCACTATTAAAAGACATGGTAGAAGCCAACTTCCTTCCATTGCTGAAATACACAAACAAAAAAATGAAAGACTGGAAAAATTTGGGATTCTCATGGTCCGGAATGATTAACATATTAAAATCATATGTCCTACCAAAGTGGCTATATATTTGGAGAATGATTCCAATCAACTGCCCAGAAAACTGGTTGTCGTTACTGCATAGGTCCTTTATTAAATTTACCTGGAGTGATAAGAAACCAAGAGTAAATATGAAATTACTGGCTAGAGCAAAACAGGACGGAGGGTTGGGATGTCCAGAAGTCTTCCAGTGCTACAAGGCCAGCAGATTGTTTCACATAATGCTTACACAGAACAGAGTGGCTATTAAAGAAAATTGGTATAAGATGGAACTAGCAAAGACTGGTGTAAGGACTTAGCCTCACTCTTCTGGACTGTTGATACAAACAGAAATATCATAAGAGGCGTCCAGCAAATCCCAGATACTCGAAGAACTGACAAGATGGCGGAGCAATTTTACAAGTAAGAAAGGCCTTAGAAATAAAATAACTGCCCTCCCTTTCACAACTATTGAAGATATGTTGGAAAATCTAAGAATGGATTCATGGTCTGAGAAAGGGGTGGGGGATAATGGAGATTTCATGGCAGAAGGTAAATTGAAATCTTTTTCCCAAATCATGACTGGATTTAACATCTCCTCTAACCAAAGGTTTAATTATTTATGAATTAAAAGCTTTGTAATAAAACATATATACATAAGCAATGAAGAGGACACTAGCAGTGGCGTCTCTAGGATTCATTTTTAGGGGGGGCACATGGAGGACAAAAGTAGGGGGGCACATTTAACCCTGCATATATATATATATATATATATATATATATATGTATGTGTGTGTAATTTAATTATAAGTGTATTTTTATATAAATATATGTGTATATATATATATATATATATATATATAAAAATACTTAGTTTGACATTGTGTATATAAGATATATCTATATCTATTATATATATAGATATAATACATGGGTACGACGGCGACCGGGTGAGTAAATATTTCCGTTATGACGGTTCAGGACCGTCACTTGTCCTCAAAGGAATTTTTCCGATGACAGTCATGAAGGGGTTAACTCCTATATGGCAGAGAATTGAGCAATGAAATTGCAGGGGTATGATCTATATACCATAACTGCTTCAGCAAGCTAAAGTGCTTTTAGTGACTATAGTGTCTCTTTAAGGATGCCCTAGTTTCATTCCACATTTATTAGGAGTGAAAACATAAATGTTTTCTGATATAGTGATATTCTTTATGAAAGAATAGCGACTTTGTATGTAACTAAAGGGTATTTCTCCTGAAACATATATGATTTGCATTGCTACTCCAAATACATGTGTGGTATCTTGCGCTGATAATAATTTAACACAGATGATTCTCAGGCAGCCAATGAGTATGGATCCTTTCAGGGTTATCAACGAATTTAAAAAGTACTGGGAATTCAAAGTGAATTTTAAATTTGAGGCCAAAGTGATTAAATGGAAATTCTCCAAGTCAGCTATGCTTCCAATTTGGCTATTTTGTCCTTAAATTTGAAGTTAACTTTAAAGTCCTACTGTAGTGAATAACCCTGAAGGTTTGTAGCAAATATGTGCATATTATTACCCAGTGGACTACAACAAGGGAGACATAGTCTAACAGCCTGCAGAGCTTTACCCGTTTGCTCCAAAACAATCCTCTAACTATACCCCAGCCCTAAAAGGGTTTAAAGGAATATTTGAAGCACCATAACAGTACGCAGCAGTAGTTATGGTGCTAGTAGTGCCCTTGCAGCTTAAATAGTGATAGAAGGAGTTTCCATTAACTCCACTTTTTTAATCCCGCTGGCTGAGATGGTAAGGTGAGCACTCTCAACCAATGACCTAAGCCCTGGAATACTGGTTTAGTTCAGTGCAGGAGCTTTTGGGCACAATCTCAAAAAGTTTGACTACTTATCCTGTGAGGGCGGCAGGAAAATTCAGACACCATAACTACAACTGCCCGGTTGTGCTTAGGAAGGTATATGTGAGATATAATATGGACTGAATCTATAGGAACTTTTTTAACTTAGCAACGGCCCTGGCAATAAAACACATGCAAAGAACAAACCAACATCAGTATAACAAGGTAAATTTGAAGAACAGACTTTATTTTTGTAATAAAATGAACAATATATAAAATACATATGTCTAGGAAAACAATGGTGGTTCTGGCATGCTAAGTGTGAATTCTGCAGGTGAAGGCCAGTGAACCTTGCATGTTGTTAATGTGCATTTCACTCTGTATTTTATTTGGCAATGATGAAAATAGCTAAATCATGTTTTTATGCTACCACTAATGTGTTTGTTTCATAAAATGGGTGTGCCTTTTTATCTGAATAAATATTGTTAAAGTTGCCATTAGGAAGTGTGTGAGTGTATGTGAATGTTTGTCTTTAGGTAATTGTCTTTGAATAAATGTTTGTGTTTGTGCATGAATATGTATGTCTCTTTCTGTATATGAGTATGTGTTGCTTTGTGAATAAAAGTTGGTTGTCATTGCCTTAATTATTTTTTATGTAAATGAATATGCAGGCTTGTCTTTGTGCATTTGTTGCATATGTCCTTTTGTCCGTGGAACAGAAACATAGAAACTTAGAATGTGATGACAGATGAGAGCCATTCGGCCCATTTAGTCTCCAATTTTATGAATGCTTTCATTAGTCTCTTGTATCTAGAATAGCCTTATGCCTATCCCACGCATTTTTAAACTCCCTCACTGTGTTAAACTCTACCACTTCACTTGGAAGGCTATTCCATGCATCCACTACACTCTCAGTAAAGTAATACTTCCGGATATTATTATTAAACCTTTGCCCCTCTAATTTAAGACTGTCCTCTTATTGTGACTGTTTTCCTTTTAAATATACTCTTCTCTTTTATGGTGTTGGTTTCCTTTATATATGTAAATGTTTTTATCATATTCTCCTGTCTCGTCTTTCCTCCGAGCTATACATGTTCAGATACTGTGTGTTTTTTTTGAGGGTTTTTTGGGGGGGGGTTTACTGAACTTTTTTTTTGGATTCCTGTTCTGCCTCTTTATGAATTTGGTCAATTGTTTTTGGCCCCTCAGGTTTGTGTCGCGGTACCCAGTTATTTTTCCTCAGGTCCAGCACATCCTGCACCAAAAATCTAATCCTAGAAGAGGTCTTGTTTTTTATAAAGATATTAAGCTTGTTGAAATAATTGTCCATGCCAGGCTGTCCATTTTCAAGGTGTTTTCCAACTGATGTCAACAACTGGCAGATGCACTCCATGGACTCCTCGGTGTTCTTATTTAGTAGCTTAATAAGGCAGTCTTTTATGGTGGCTTCTGAGAGTAACTTTAATTTAAATAGCTCCCCAATAAATTTGATGTTTCCAAGGGATCGCCTGCGTGCTCTTTTACAGGCATCATTCAATTCTTCCTTTATTCGAGCCTTTTCATTAGGTGATATAGTTGCGTCCAGTTCCTTCTGAAGTTCTTCAATTCTTTCACCACCTTTTTCACGTCTCTCAAACTCCACCTGGCAGAGCCTTATCAGCAGCCTGCGGAATGTAATACACACTTCACGATTTTCTTCAGTTGGGACCTCAAGCCTCATTAGCCAGTTGCACATGTTTGCATATATAACTGCAAAATGAGGCTCTGCTACTGCTTTTTCAAATATGAGTTCTGCGACTCCTTTAAGCTGATGCTCTGTGTCTACAGAGAGGTCCTTTACCTGGTGAATTAAGTGCTCGAATGTCTGAGGAGTTATCTTATTCAAGATACCGCGAACTTTCCGAAACAGTTCTTCAGCCTTGACTCTACTGGGATCTTCGGTTTCCCTTTTCATGGGAGGTCTCCAAGCTTTTTCACATTTTTGCAGTTTCACATTCTCATTTAGTTCAAGGATTCGTCGATGTTCTTTAACAGGAGCTTGCGGAGACCTCATCTGATGGATTCCCGGTGGCAATCTGCGATTACCCTTAGAAGGGTAGCAGGAATTTCCAGATTGAGGTGTCCAATTTCTGCGAGTTAATTGTGATGGATCCACTGGCCGAAGGTGAGGTCTAATAACCATGCCTTGGTGGATTTTACAGATTTCAGAAAAGTCCTTTGGTTCCTCCGTGATCGATTTGAACTGGAGTAAGAAATTCCTGTCGTAGGATACCCTTTCTACCTTTGCTTTGATATCCAACTTATCTTGGAGTGAAGGTACTGCAAGGTCTTGGCTTTCTGTAATTGGCTTTGGAACCACATCAGCCTTACCAGGTTGTTCTTTTTCTTCTGTTTCTGGCAATCCTTGTTTTTTAGGGTCACTGCTCAGGCTCCTATATGATGCAGGCTGATTATTCTCTATCTCAATTTGCTTCTGCTCAGGGGCGGTCTCTTGCTTAATTAGAAACAACTCCTCATGCTTAAGAGTGGGGGAATCCAAAGTCATCTCAGAAGGATAAATCACAGTGGCAGAGTTTACTGACAGCTCCTCTAACATTTCATTAGTGTGTGGTTTAGCAGGACAAACTGGGACATCAAGAAGAATTCTCTGTTCCTGAACTGTGACAGTCTCCAGAGAATCTAAATTAGTAGGCTCAGGATGACAACCTGAAGTGGACTGTGGCAGAATATGAGGTTCGATTGCACAAACATGGCACTCTAAAAAAATGTTGTCGTCTAAACATGTGACAACCTCTGGAGCCTTTAGGGACATAGACTGCAGTGAAGGACCAACTGTGACTGGGTCCTGAGAATCTATATTTGTAGGCTCAGATGGACAACTTAACGTGGACTGTGGCTGATCAAGGTTTACAGTCAACTCATCTGTCAATTCACTTGTATGAGGTTCGATAGTACGAAAAGGGCACTCGAGAGAATTGTTGTCTTCTAAACACATGACAACCTCTGTAGGTTCTAGAGACATAGACTGCAGCAAATGACAATGACCTGTGACTGGGTTCTGTGAATCTAGATTTGTAGGGTTAGATGAACTGAAAGTGGACTGTGGGTGACTAAGGTTCACTGGCATATCCTCTGTCAATCTATTTGTATAAGGTTCGATAGTGCAAACAGGGCATTCTAGAGAATTGTTGTTTTCTAAACATGTGACAACAGCTGTAGGCTCTAGAGACATAGACTGCAGCAAAGGACAAGGAATATCTTCTAGACTTGTGACAGGTTCAGGCTGTAGAATAGTATTCTGTTTATAATACTCAGCAGAATCTTTTTCATTTTCTGGTCCTTTTTTGACCACTTCCTTTTCTGGGACACTTGCAGCCTTTTCAGTTGCTACGTTTTGTCTTGGAAGTAATGTAGGCTTTACTTTAGTTAAACGGAATGGGTCCCTGCAATTAAATAGGAAAAGTCAAAATACAATTGTAACAATTCTATCCTTTCCTCCCTTTCCATCCATCAGCCCATTTTTTCACTTATCTTATTCCTCTTCAGCTATCCTCTCACTTTGGTCTGTCAGCCACCCTATCACTTTGTATTTATCAGTTATCGCACAATTATAGTGACACTATTAGATCATTTATATTTCATATAATACATTCTGGTTACAGCAATTTCAGTAGTTTATTTTGTACCATAAAAGCTTCTGTTTATTTTACAAAGCATTCATTATGGAAATTAGATCATCCTTAGTAAGTTACATTGCCGTAGTACTTCCCAGTGATTTGTGATGTTGGTTCAGAAAGAGCAGTGACGTGTTTCTCTATCTGTGGTTCTTCTCTCATTGGTTTTCTGTGTACACAGACAGCCAGTGAGAGAACCAGGGTATTGGCTTACTGAGGACACTGCAGTTTTATTTGTCTATATGTATGTATATATGGTCAATCATTCTGTGTTTCACAATACACTTACCTAGGTGGCTGACCATATGTCATTAGTTTGTTGGTTTTTGTTGGAGTCACCCGAATATAGCATGGCACTTCGGGAATCTTCTCCTCTTTTCCATATCTGACATTGTTATGTCTAAAGCTTTTGAAGAAAAACACACAAAAAACAAAGGTCAGGCTAATTATTACAGCACCCAGCATAGAGGTTAAATCTCATTTTGTTAAAACAAACATCAACAATCCCCCTCCCCCCTCTCCTCCTCACCCCCTTTTGATTAATGTGATAATACAGTATTTACCTTCCATCATGCTCTGCAAATTTAGATGTATCAGAAGGGGAAAGGCAAAGTCTCTTTGTGCCTTGTTGGAAATTGTGTAGAATTTCTTCCACAAACCCACCATTCTGTTTCCATGGCTCCCCTTTCTTACCCTTTACATGATCTGGACAAACATCCAGATTAGGTGATATCTGGGGCAATATCTGGGGCTCAGCTTTAAGAGGTAGCCTATTTATGAAAGAAAAAGTGATTAGTGAAGTTTCATATTTCACACATTGGATGTTTTGTTTCTGGAATAACTGAGTGTGTTTAGGAGATGATAAAAGAAGCCATTATATATTATACATTATTATTATTTGGGTCGTATTGTAATGGTTAAATAATTAAATTTGATTAGTAAAACCTATGAAATGTCTGGACTAATTTCATCCTGCATTTCATCCCTGTTGGTGCTGTCTGTTTAGGACCTCAAAAACCTTTTTTAATTCCTATATATTTTATTTATTTTTTCCACCCCAGGATACCATGCCTGCTTATTTCATTTCAATCACTACAAATGGGCTAGGCTACACACATTCATTTTTTAGTTCATTTTTTATCTTGTCTGTTGAGAAAAATAACTAAAAGATGAAATTCATTAATATTTTAAGTACTTTAACCCGTATATTACTCCCATTCATTTTAAGATAAAACTGTTACATCTAAAGGAAAGCTATGTTATTTATAGAGGTGATGCCCATGAGCAAACCATCCTTTATTCAAATTTTTATCCAACTCTGACCTCCATCTTCTAATAACCCTATCTAATATGATACCTGCAGCCGCTGTCCACTTACCTCTCCGTAGACCAGGGGTGGGGAGCCTTCGGAATCTCCAGATGTTTTGGACTGCATCTCCTATAATGCTCTTACAGCCATAATACTGGCAAAGCATCAATGGAGATGTAGTCCAGAACATCTGGAGGGCCTAAGGTTCCCCAACCCTGTCGTTGTGACAGCTTATAGTGACACTATGAGGTCATTTGTCTCATATATTCGATTCTGGTTACAGCAATTTCAGTAGTTTATTCGTACCATAAAAGCTTCTGTTTATTTTGAAATGCATTCCTTATGGAAATTAGGTAATGCTTAGTAAGTTACGTTGCCATAGCACTCCCCACTGATTTGTGATGTTGGTTCAGAAAGAGCATTGATATCTTTCTCTGTCTGTGTTTTTTCTCTCATTGGTTTTCTGTGTACACAGCCAGCCAGTGAGGGAACCAGGGTATTGGCTTACTGAGGACACTGCAGTTTTATTTGGATGTCCTAATAGCATTGTGGTCAATCATTCTGTGTCTCATGATACACTTACCTAGGTAGCCGAGCAGACATCTTTAGTTTGTTGGTTTTTGTTGGAGTCACCCGAATATAGTATGGTACTTCGGGAATCTTATCCTGTTTTCCAAAGCTGACAAAGGTATGTCTAAAGGTTTTAAAGAAAAATGCAAAACACAAAATGGTCAGTCTACTTCTTATATCACCCAGCGTAGAGGTTAAAATGTAAATTTGTTAAAACAAAATATCAACAATAGAAAAATGCACAAGATTCCCCCCATTGATTTATTTGATAATACAGTATTTACCTTTCATCAAGCTCTGCAAATTTAGATGTAACAGAAGGGGGAAAGCGAAGTCTCTCTATGACTTGTTGGTAACTTTTTCGAGTTTCTTCCACAAGCCCACCTTTCTGCTTCCATGGCTCCCATTTCTTACCCTTCTCAGGATCTAGACAAACATCCAGATTAGGTGATACCTGGGGCAATAGCTGGGGCTCAGCTTTAAGAGGTAGCCTATTTAAGAAAGAAAAAGTGATTAGTGAAGTTTTATATTTCACACAGTGGATGATATATTTCTGGAATAACTGAGTGTGTTTAGGAAATTTTGGTTCAGAAAGAGCATTGACATCTTTCTCTGTCTGAGTTTTTTCTCTCATTGGTTTTCTGTGTACACAGACAGCCAGTGAGGGAACCAGGGTATTGGCTTACTGAGGACACTGCAGTTTCATTTGGATGTCCTAATAGCATTGTGGTCAGTTATTCTGTGTCTCATGATACACTTACCTAGGTAGCCGAGCACACGTCTTCAGTTTGTTGGTTTTTGTTGGAGTCACCCGAATAGAGTATGGTACTTCGGGAATCTTATGCTCTATTCCATAGCTGACAAAGGTACGTCTAAAGCTTTTAAAGAAAAACACAAGACACAAAATGGTCAGGCTAATTCTCACAGCAGTATAGAGGTTAACATGTGAATTTGTTAAAACAAAACATCAACAAAACAGAAAATAAGCACAAGATTCCCCCCTCCTCCATTGATCATTATGATCATACAGTATTTACCTTTCATCAAGCTCTGCAAATTTAGATGTAACAGAAGGGGGAAAGCGAAGACTCTTTCTGCCGTGTTGGTAAATTTTTCGAGTTTCTTTCACAAGCCCACCTTTCTGCTTCCATGGCTCCCATTTCTTACCCTTCTCAGGATCTGGACAAACATCCAGATTAGGTGATACCTGGGGTAATATCTGGGGCTCCGCTTTAAGCCTATTTAGGAAAGAAAAAGTGATTAATGAATTTTAATATTTCATACATTTGAAATTCTATTTCTGGAATAACCGAGTGTGTTTAGGAGATGGTAAAAGAAGCCATTATATATTATGCATTATTATTTGTGTTTTGAATTAGAAAAAAAGAAGAAAAGAGGAGAGAAGAGGAGCCTTTCCCTGTTTTTAAGGGTGTATCACTGGGAAAGTGAGGTTCCCGGTTTCCCTCTGATGAACTGACAGGGTAAACGCGCGTCACGGCGTTTAGGTTGCTGTAGGGAATAGATGAGTACGGCATTAAGATTGCCAATCTATGAGATGCTAAAGCAGATTTATCTACTATCTGATTAATCATAAAATCTCCCGTATATTAGAGGAGTTCTTATTAAGGGCATTCATTTCTCCAACAAGCCGTCTCCCCTTGCTATACCATTGACGTAGGGGGCCGGTATTTGGGGTATTAATAGGCTAGGGATAGTGAGGATATGTTCCATTGACAGAAGGTGCCCTTGAAGGCACAACAGGGAGAGCATGTAAGAATCTTTTGTTCTTTCCCCCTTCTCCTTCCTTTTATGATACAACACAAACGGGTTACTCTATGATCTACATTAGTTTGTAGCCAACGAGGTCGGGATATAGATAGTGCACGTTTAACTTATTTCTTCCGGTGGGGTCTTGGGAATTGAGATAAGTGAACATTTAACAAAAAGGCGATTCCCTGTACTTTAACTTCAGACCGTACAGTAACCATAATAGTAAATTACAGCTACAATAACAAGCAATAAATGTTATATTTGGTCCTTTAGTTTAACTGTGTGAATGGTTACAAATTAGTAAACGGGTGAATTAACACCGAGGGGAATGTAAAGCTAATAGAAATTCTAGAATATCTAGGGGATATTATCCTTCATCCAGAATAATTACCTGCCTATAATACACTAGCACATAGATTCATCTACCCTTACATGTACCTATTTGACAATAAGTGGAAAACTTTATACATAAATTCACTTATGTGATTTAAGATAATTATACTATAGGACTTTATTCAAGGGGCTGTTATGTCCATAGAAGGTACCTAACTATACAATTTCCTTTTAGTGAAATCATCTAGTTATCATTTATTATTATTTTTTGTTTATCATGTTTATTATTATTATTTTGTGTTTAATTATTTTTGTGTGATAGTGTGTGTTTAGTGTCCCCACTAGAAAGGGACTTTTAATTGACTTATTAAAAGTGACGTTTTAAATTATTATTTGTGTGGTTAACTAATTAACTTTGATTTCTCAAATTAATGTCATCCTGCATTTTATCCCAGGATGGTGCTGTCTGATCAGGGTCTCAAAACACCTTTATTAATTCCTACATATTTAACTTTTTTTTTTTGCACCCCTGTTTATCATGCCTGCTTATTTTATTTCAAATTTTATCACTACAAATGGACTACGCCACACACATTCATTGGTTTGCTTGTTTTAGCTTATCTGATAGGTAGTCTTAACAGATGAAAATTCAATTCACATATTAAGGATTTTAACCCTTATATTACTCCCATTAATTTCAAGATGACAATATTAAATGTACAGGAAAGCTATGTTATTTATAGAGATGATGCCTATTAACAAACCATCCTCTATTCCAATCTCTATCTTACTCTGACCACCATCTTTTAATAACCCTATCTAATACGATAGCTGTAGCAGCTATTCCCTTACCTGTCCGTAGAAGGCTGTATCTTTGGCTGTTTTTTGAATTCTTTTTTAGTAGAATTCCTGGATGGGAGTTGAGTACCCCACAACCATAAAACCAGGGGATGTTCAAATATAGAAATAGTGTTAACCATTGTCTCTGTAAAAAATCTCACTACAATGTAAATGCTTGTGAAATGGTAGTAGGACCAGCAGGAGTAGGGTTTCTGTCCTCTGGTCAGCGACATCACAATCGAACCTGATTGTCTAAATGCAGAAACAATGACTGACTGCATAATGTCTATGGAAATTAAATCCAATTGAAATTTTAAATAGAATTTAAATGATAGGTGCAGAAACCACTTAATTTTTCAGTTTGTTGTTGTGGCGTTAAAGGGATACTGCGGCCACCATAACACCAAGATCAAGATTTTGTAATTTTGTCTTTGTTCATTGACAATATTAACAAACTTCTCTAAGCACCAACACAACTTTAGCTTAATGAAGCAGTGTTGGTGTATAGATGATTCCATGCACTGTCATTGCTCAATTTTCTGCCATTTAAGAGTTAAATCAGTTTTGTTTCTGTTTATGCAACTCTAACCAAACCTTCCCGGACAGTGACTCACACAACCAACTTGACAAAAAAAAAAGTTTTATTTTCAATCAGATGTAACAGCACTGTGTGTTCACTTTGCAGATTTTATGTATTGCACTATTAATTGACCATTCATAGCACACAGGAGGTTCCTGCAGACTATTAATAGAATATGGGAGCTGAAATTCTAATTTAAGCAGACTGTGCAATAAAGAAAGTTTCAACATTAGATCTCTCTTCACAGGAAATGTGTATGGGAGACTCTTTAGGTCAAGTTCAGGGAGGTGTGATTAGAGCTGCATAATCAAAGTGATTTGACCCCTAAATGGTAGAGAATCGAACCGCTTAAATAATTCCTATATATTTTACTTTGGGGGGTTTATGCACCACTGTATACTTTGCTTGCTTGCTTAATTTCAATACCTATAAATGGGCTAGGCTAAACACTTTCATTTTTTTTTGGTTCATTTTGTATCTCTTCTGTTAACATAAATAACAAAAAGATGAAACTTAAATTCACATTGTAAGAATTTTAATCCTTCTATTACTTTTCATTTCAAGATGACATGTTAAATCTACAGGAAAGTTATGTTATTTATAGAGGTGATGCCCATTCAGAAACCATCCTTTATTCTAATCTCTGTTGAACTCTAACCCATTCTTCTAATAAGCCTATCTAGTATGATACATGTAGCAGCTATTCCCTTACCTGTCCGTAGAAGGCTGGATCTTTGGCTGTTTTCTGAATTCTTTTTTAGTAGAATTCTTGGATGGGGGTTGATTACCCCACAGCCATAAAATCAGAGGATATTCAAATATAGAAATAGTGTTACTCATTCTCTTAATAAATCATCCCACTGCAATGAAAATGCTCGTGAAATGCTAGTACAACCAGCAAGAATAGGGTTCTCTATTCTCTGGTTAGTGACATCACAATAGAACCTGATGTACTAGATCAGGGCTGCACTATAGGTAGATCCCCAGATATTGCAGAATTACAACTCCCATGATGCTTTGCATGCCTTTAGAATAACAACGCATCATGGGAGTTGTAGTTCTACAACATCTACATCTGGGCATCTGCCTATTAGCATTGTTCTAGTTGCAGAGAGAATGGCTGACTGCATAATGTCTATGGAAATGTAATCTAATTGAAAATGGATATAAGTTTAAATGATAGAAACAACTTAAAGGGACACTATAGTCAACATATAAAAGCCAGACAGGTCCCCCAGCCGTCTTTCTTGCTTTTATATGAAATTGTCATTAAAAAAAAAAATTTTAGTAAGTTTTAATAATAAAACTTATCTCTGTTCCAGTGCCGAGCTACCTGCTAGGCCACACCCCCTTTTTCATCAACATGATGAAATCGCAGGGCCCAATGGGATGCTTCTCCTTGAGAAGCGTCATCGCAATGTGGTGCGCATGCTCATTTTCAAATGCCTCCCTATGAAGAAACTCAGCACTCAACCATGCATGTGCGCAGATCGCAAGCTGAGCTATGTGACTCACAGCTCAACTCGCTTTCCATACCCGCCCCCCTCCTCAGCCAAACTGTGTGTTTGCATGTTTGCATAGAAACACTATATATAGAGATGTCTCTATATATAGTGTTTCTATGCAAACACACAAGTAGTAAAAAATTAAAGACCTAACCACACACTCTTTCCCCATCCAAATCCATCCATCCCCATCATCCATATCCATCCCCATCATCCATATCCATCCAGTCACTCACCCGCACTCACTAAATTAGTTTACTTACAGTTTGAATCCTCCCCTCCCCCTAGCTTTGAATGTAAACACTGTATATTCTCAGAAAATACAGTGTTTACATGAGAAAGGCTGCAGGGAGCTATAGTTCTCACCTGAACAACCTCATTAAGCTGAAGTTGTGCAGGTGACTATAGTGTCCCTTTTATTTCCCATGTTGTGGTTGTGGCATTAAAGGTTTACTCAGGCCACCATAACACCTTCATCACAATGAAGTTGTTATGGTGTGATGAGGTCCATGGCACCATCTCACCTTAAGATGTTAAACCATTATCAGTTTAACCCCAAACACTTCTCCTAAAGGTCTGAAGCCTTGGTCCGGGTGTCGCTTGTAGGCTGAGAGCATTAGCTGACAGAAGCTCTTCATTGAGAAAGTGAGTGGAAAGGACGCATACTTTTTTCATACACTTTTCTGATTGGTAAGATTGCTTTATTACTGTACAGGGGCCCAGTCAGGCATTGTAACCCTTTGAGAATGCTACCAGATCCCCTAGAGGTCTCTTCTCACACTCACCCACCCTCCCTGTGCTCCTCTCATCCCCTCTCCACCCTCCCTGTG